CAGTGGGATAACAACTGGAATAACAATTGGAATGACAACATCAATGGAAATTGGAATGGAAAGTGGAATATCACTGGCAACTGGAATGGAAATTGGAATGGGAATTGGCCATGCAATTTCCCGGTGAGAAAACCTTTGCCCTTACCTCTCTTCAACCAAGTGCAGGGGCTCCCGAGCTGCTGCCCAAAGCCAAGCCTGGTGCCCTTCTTCCCTGGCTTCTGCTCTTTGCAGAGGTTCCTGCTTGAGGCTGCAAATGCTCACCCAGAGCAATGCAGGAGTAGAGGTTTCCATCCAAGAGCTTGAGCGTGGATTTCCTCTGGCCACTGCTCTTGCTCTCCTCAGCCTCTCAAGGCAGCAGCTGACAGCTTTCAGATGTGGCAATGAACCACTGATACCATGGAGAGACTTCTTATGGCTTCTGCCAGACACCAAGGCCTATTTTCTGTTTTTTATTTAAAATATCTCCTCCTCTTTTCAAATCCGACCTCCACCGCCGTCTCTGCCTGAATCTGACTGCTTATTGTTTTCTTGCACCGACTTTTTGTAACTGTAATATGTGAGACTTACCTACTCGCTCAGTCTGATCATATTTCATAAGGTTTTCTTGTCTCAGCAGAACTGTAACAACCAACAAATCATCCCTGGTCAAGGTTCCCACATCTCCATCTCCGGTGTCTCACAAAGCATGAGCGTCAGTAGCCAAACAATGGAGGCAATCATTGAGCAGAAGAGCAACCGCATTTCCTGGAAAACCATCTGGAACTACAACACCGTGAGTGCCAGGGGAGGGCTTTGTGCAATAAAAAAGATTGAAGGAGATTGGCTCCTCATTCAACATCCCCAGTGATGGGGATTATTTTCTTTCTTTTAAATTTTGCAGCCCATGATATGGTGTAGAAACTGTCAGTGTTTGTTATTGTTTCAATCCAAACTTTATTCCAATGTTAACAGTTGGAAACAACTGTACCGTGAGTGCTCAATAATTTCATTTTGCAGGGTATCATTGCAACAAAAGTGATGCAAACGAGAACGTGCTACATTTCCACCATGAACAGGAGTGAGATGCCCACCTTTGCTGCACTGGTCAGAGTGGCTGCAGAGAGGAGGGTAAGAATTTAATGGAGGAATCACTTGGAGTGTTGCTCGGTGTTTGAAAATAAACAGATGTGGAAGACTGTTATTTTCAAAGACTTTTAAACCTTTAGGAATTTAGAAGTTATTTATATCACGCTATTAATTATGTAGTTTAACTTATTTTGATTTCTATTTTATTTTAAAGGGTTAAAAAATAAGCTCTTTTAGGTGAAGGTTTCTCATTTTTAATTAATGTTGTAGATATCCTGGGTAATTTTTACATTTTTTGCAATGAGTTTTTAATAGTCTCTTATGACCCTTTTTAATAATCTCTTATGACCCAAGAGTGTAGATGTTTGGTGAGGTACCCTTTATAATCTTCCATTTAGATTATAAAATCTAAATGGATTGATAAGATTTATAATATTTCATTCCATAATCTTCAAGCAAACTGGAGACACCAGTGGCAGGATTTCCAGCCTCTCAACACCAATGCAGATTGGAAATTTGTTGCAGGGGCTCTGAGGGGCAAGGATAGAACCCAAATGCTTTGGAGGGAGCCCTGGCTACACAGAGGGGTTTCAGTCCTCTTCTCCTCTTCAGCCCTTTCCTGGCACTTCCACTCCCCCCAGGCCCCCTGTCCTTCACTCCCTGAGAACAAGCTCTGCCTTGGCAGCTGCCTTCAAGGCTTGCTAAACCCCACAGGAGACAAAAAGGTGTCCCTAAAGGCACCTTGGACTCCAGGTCCCAGCCCTGACTCACCATTCCAGAGCGAGGAATAGGCCCAGCTCATACCACTCATCTTGCCGAATTTTTATTTTTAGAATTTTTATGTTTTTATGATTTTCATGTTTAGAACCTGATCAACCTTGGAAGACCCAGCAGGAGGATCACCTTTGTCACCAACGGGTTGGTCAGCAACCTCAGCTCCTACGGGGCACACGTCTTCTCCATGTGCAGTGGGCTCCCCACCTACAGGGCTCAGGAGGTTCAGGGTGAGTGCAAACAAAGGAATTCCTTCTCTGAGTGCCCTGGAATTTGTTTCCCTTGGGGAAATGCACAATTGCTGCTTTTCCACTTTGAGATGCACAGAAAACTTTGGGCTTCAGCAGCTGGACAAAGGGTTTGACATCCCCACAGCTCAGGACTGAATCAGGCTGAGTCACAGCCCCCATAAATGATCTGATCTATCCCATTACCACCCCTTGCTGTGAAGTTAATCTGGTTTAGGTTATTATGCAGGATTTTACACGTTGATGTCCTCTGCAATGCTTCCACTAAGAGAAAGGGCAGCTCTAGGTACCAATGTTCTCTCATTTCTGTACCACAGACCCAGTGTGGTTTCATCACTTCAGAGAGACTTTGTCTATTAAATGATTTCTTGTACAGCAATTATGGACAGCCTAGTTCACTTCAAGCAACAAAAATGAGCTCTCATTGATTACCTAAGAACATTCTCCCTAAGAACTGATTGTGATTTTCTGTTTGTTTTTTTTGAAGGACTCCTGTACAACCAACAATCGTGCACTACCCTCGACATCCTGAGACTTGTGGAGCTGAGGTACTGCAGTGGCCATGGACACATCCTGAACTGAGATCCAGCCTTCAGAGGCCCAAAACCAGCCCTGATGCTGCTCTTCCCTGACATCCCCTCTTTCAAGAGCTTTGTTCTTGATGGTTCAGATGCTGAAACACATCATTGTGCTTCCAATTAAAAACCTTTTGCAGATAACCCCCTGGCTGGTTTCTCATTGCTCTAGCCTTCAATCATCTTTGAAACTTCCATGGAAATATTTGGATTGTTTCCCCTCTGCCCCATTTGAGCCCTTCAAATGCTCTTTCCAGGACAGAGAGCTGGGCAAGCCCAGGCTGTGCGTGGTACACAGGCACTCACACTCAGCACCTTCCTTCCCTGGTTGGGGAAAGATGCCTCACATTACAAATCTTGATTCAGGGGGCACAAAAGGCAGAAAGAAAGAAGGGAAAAGCAGTGAATTTGCCTTTTTTAGGGGAAGGGGAGTCTCCTTTGTGGGATTTACAGAGTTGTTCTGCTCCTAAAACAAGGCAAAGTTGGGATTCCTGTGCTCTGCTGCTGATTAGAATTTCTTTTTCCATCTCAAAGCAGCGACTGTTAAATGCACTGAGCTTACCATGAGCAGTTTTCTCTCACTTCCCTGTATGCAGTGAATTCAATCAGGCAGGTATCAAAGCCTCATCTTATCAGAGCACTTCCCCAGGAAACTCGTCATGCTCCTGTGGACACAGGGCACCTGCCAATAAGGCAAACCCATTTTCAGATTTAACTTTGGGATATTATGTATAAAAAGTAAGAGTACACATCAATTACCAGCAGAGCTGGCCTGGCCTACCATCCAAATGAAGTTGCCTGTAAGTATACCTATCACTTTCTCATCAAACTCTTAAGGCTGGGCAGCTTTTAAATGCTTTTAAATACTCCCCATGTGCACTCATCTTTCTCATCAAAATCCTTTAATTTGGAGCAATTCTATGCCCAAGGGAATGTCTTCATGATAATAACTGTTCACAGCAGTTAACACAAATGAATTTATCATCATAACAAATAATTCTCCTGCATGCTTTAAATCCTCTTCAGCAGAAAGTGCTGAGCCTGTACACAAAGTAAACTGCAATTCACAACTGTTTTAAGGCAGAAAATAACTTGATGCAAGACGAGCAGTCCCAATGTTAAAATGTGAATTTCAAATGCTCCTTTCAGACTGTGATTGCTTCTCTTCTCGGAGCTTTCCTGGCTCCAGCTCTTGCTGCCAGGGTGTTGTGAATGAGTGGTTTCAGCCACTTTAAAGAATCACCAGAACAGCTCCTGGCAAAAGCAGGTTTTAACATGAGTTTGTGAAAGTACAAATGAACAGAATGCAATGGCAAGGGTTACTCTACTGCTCACTGCACAGCTGAAAGCTGCAAGGGAAAATCAAATGAAAATGGCTTTAGAATGGCACACAGAGCCCAGGGGTACAAAGGGTGAGGGTGCAAATGATTTAAGAGTGTTTAATCACTGACTCATTTACAAGGTGAATCAATAGCATTCAGTTACAACAAAGACTGAAATATAGATTCAAGATAGCGACGTTCATGCCCTAATCCCTCCTCATGCACACACACAGGCCCAGAGCTGGCCACATCCATATCTATGTGTGCAAAAGTACCTGTTCAAAATTCCCCTGGAGTTCACTGGAACGGGTCAAATACCTTTGCATTTCCCAGGGGGTGAGGGCTGAGGCTCGAGGAGTGGGGAATTCTTCAGAATTCTTCAGAAAAAGCCTTTTGAGAATTGCAAAGCTGAGGGTTTCAAGCTCCAGGAGACATCCCCACTCCACCAGGTGAGGGTGGGTCCCAGTGCAGGGCCCCCCTTGGCACTGCTGGTCCTGGAGTCAGGGGAGGATTGTCCTCATTCCCTGGGAGGTTTCCAGCTGTCCTGGCCTATCCCAAGCTCCTAACAATGGTCCTGCTCCACTCAGGCTGTGACACAGGCAGATAAAGCTCCCAGGCTGCCAGGGCTTGAGTGATTATCCCTTGTTCCCTGCCTGCTCAGGTAACCAATATTCCTGCTACCATCAGTGTCACTCCCACATTTCCACATCTCCTGCTACGGTCACCAGCACCAGGTCAGGGTAAAACCTGAATGTGAAGTCACAGCAGCACTGGCAGCTCCCTGAGGCCAGAAATCATCTCCCTTTCATCTGATCCCCAGGAGCAATAATTCCCCAAAACTCAGCTTCGGGAGCAAAAGCTTCACTGAGTGAGACCCTGCTGGGAATCCTCACCTCCTTTAATCCATCCCAAAAACTGGAACGTCAGCAAAAGCTGCAAAGAGCACCAAAATGAAAGTTCACACCACTCAGTCAGGGGTTAAGCTTGGGCAGGAGAACACAGCACACACATGGCATTGCTGGAGAAGGAAATAAAACCTATTTCATTTTTTTTCCCCTACCAACAGATTCCTGCCTCACAATCATCAGACTCCAGCAGGTCAAAATTTTCAAAAGTACAATCCTCGTGTTTATCAAGTAATTACACCAGGAAATAATTTCCAGGGACAAGTGACAGGGAAACAAATGAAAAAATAATTTTATTGCAGCATCCAGCCCCTCCACACCTAATTCTGAAAACAAATAAAAGGTGGGAGGCTCACATCATTTATTCTGCCTTCAGCAGCATCAGCTCTGCAGTCAGGATGAATCTCCCTGTAAGTATGCATGCTTTTCTTCCTTATAAACTCAAACTTTGATTCAAACCCATTCCTTCATCCCTCACAAGGCTTTCTGCCCCTCTGGAGCACTGAGGCTTTCTCTGGGGACATTTTGCTCCTGCAGAAGGAGCAGCTCAGCCCCTGTTCCCCAGAGGAGCTGAGCAGGGGAGGATTTCTCCAAGCCTTGGCTGTCCATTATTCAGCAAACAGAAAGCCCAGTGCCCATCCCTGCCAAGGCTTCTGCACAGCTGGAGCAGTGCTCTGCTGGATCCAGCCCTTCCCTGCAATGCCAGAGCAGAAGGAATGGAAAAGCTTTCCATTTCCAAACAAGCTGAGATTCAGCTCTTGACAGAGCAAGAGGGAAATGTGTCTGGGGTAAAGCAAGGGTGATTCCCTTTTGGGGCACTGGGGCAATCCCAGGATGAAAGCAAGAAAGGATCCAAGGAGGACCCTGAAACATCAGATTAGGAAAAGGGAAGGAGGCGTCTCATGACCAGATTTGTCAGCCAGAGCTGCAGTTACACTTTTGGATTTGATTTTCATTTCAGATTTTGGCTGCAGTCCTCCTTGGACTGGTCCTGAATCCAGCCCTTGCTGATCAGGTGAGTACAGTGACCAATTTCCACGGGAATGGCTGCTCCATGTTCCCTGCTCCAGGAGATCTCCTTGAACCTTTCATTTCTCCAAAGCCTCGGGAAGGTAATCACTGGAAAGCCCAAGTGTTCCTTCATTTGTTTTTCTAGCATCAACAGACTGAAGTGAGCAAGAAAATCTCCATTGGTGGAGCCTACCAAATTCTGACCATCAATAGGAAATGGCTCGTGGCAAGCATTGAGCAGAAGAGCAACCATGGATCCTGGAAAACCATCTGGAACTATGACACAGTGAGCAGAGAGAGGGGGGGGTTCAGAGACTGCCTCATACACTCAGCAAAAACTGGCTAATTACTATTTAAAATATGTATAAAATCCCAGTATTAATGATCAAACTCCAAATGCTCAATACCTTTATTTTACAGGGCTTTATGGCCACCAAAGTGCTGCCAGAGAGAGCTTGCTACCTTTCCATAATGAACAGAACAGAGATGCCCAGCTTTGATGCTCTCCCCCAGCTGGCTGCAGACATCAGGGTAAGGCTGAAAAGGAGCAGGGAAAGTTGTAATTAATGCAAATTAAACTGGGATGGGAGACCTTGCTGTTCTCAAAACCAACAGACACTTTAAATATCAGGTTCATCAAACCAAAAGCTAGATGTTTTTATCAACTTCAATGACATTTTACAGCAATGCAACTTTAAACTTGTGAAAATTGGAATGCTCTTGTTCAGATGCATGGAGGGTTTAAATGTTTGTAGCTCAGATTATTCTTAAAATGTTCATAACAACTAAAACTAGGAACATTCCTGAGGTTAAATGGGTCAGGGCACTGATCTTGCTGAATGCTGTGATTTGATGTTATTTTGATGTGATTAGAACCAGAATCATCCAAGAGCCCCTACAAAGGAGATCACGTTCACCCTCGTCAGGAGAATTATTCGTGACCTCGGTTCATACGGACCAGACATTTTCTATACATGCAGGGGACTCTCAACTTACGTGGCTTACCAAGTTCAGGGTGAGTGCAAGCAGAGAAATTCTTGCCTTACCAAGTTCAGGGTGAGTGCAAGCAGAGAAATTCTGTCTCTGAGTGAGCTGGCATTTATTCCTTGGGGATTCACAATTGCTGCTCTTCCACCACAGGTGACAGAAACCAAGGGCCTGTGCCAGGTGTTAAAGGCTGGCACTGAATTATTGAACATTTAACATTTAATCCTGCTCTGTGTCTCCTGGTAATTGTTTTTCTTCTCTTGTTTTTGAAGGACCAGAGTTCAGCCTGGGATCGTGCATCAAACTCGATGCCCTTCAGTACCTGGCCCTCACGTACTGCCACAATGACAACTCTGTGTAAATCATACCTGTCCTCATCCCAGCTGTAGCTGCTGTCCAAAACCAATCCTGAGTTATTCCCTGGCATCTCCTCTTCCAACATCTTCCTTCCTGAGGGCTGAGTAGTGAAACAGATCAATTGGTGAGCAGAGCTACCAATTAAATTCCTTAATCATGGAGTAACTCCGGCCTGTTTGTCGTTACTCTACCCTTTTCCATCTGAGAACATCTCCATGAAAATGTTCTGTCCCATTTGAGCCCTTTCAGTGCTCAGCACAGCCAGAGAGCCAGGAGAGCCCAGGCTGTGTGTGGTACACAGGGCACTCACAGCCAGGACCTTCCTTCCCTGCTCAGGGAAAGATTCCTCACATTAAAAGTTTTGATTCAGGGGGAACAAAAGGCAGAAGCAAAAAAAAAGTGCAAAGCAGTGAATTTACCTTTTAAAGGGGAAGAGGAGTCTCCTCTGTGGGATTTACAGAGTTGTTCTGTTCCTGACACAAAGCAAGGCTGGAATTCCTGTTGCTCAAATCTTTACGACCAAGATTATTTCCTCTTCTCTAACAAAAATGCCAGGACAGCCCGAGCTGAGGCACTCAATGCCATCAAAGCACTGAGCTGTGCAGGAGCCTCATCACCCTCTGGGCAGGTCTGGACCAGCCGGGGGCAGCCACTGGAGGTGATTCCACCCCAGGGAGCTCTTGGGACCTTGAAAAATTAGAGCAGGGAAGAGAAAAATCCTCTCGGCCGCTGAGTGTCAGCCTCGAGCTGCAGAACTGAGAGAGAAAAGGAACCCGAGTCCCATTCCGAGCCAACTGAGAGAGAAAAGGCACCCGAGTCCCACCCTGAGCCCAGCTGAGAGGGGAAAGGATCCCGAGTCCCATCCCGAGCCCAACTGAGAGAGAAAAGGATCCCGAGTCCCACCCTGAGCCCAACTCTGCTCTCCCGGCACCAGGAGAGAGCAGCAGTGCCAGCACCGGGCCAGCTGTGCCAGCTCCAGCTGTGCCCAGTTCCAGCTGTGCCAGTTCCAGATGTACTCAGTTCCAGCTGTGCCCAGTTCCAGCGGTGCCCAGTCCAGCTGTGCCCAGCTCCAGCTGTGCCCAGTTCCAGCTGTGCCCAGTTCCAGCTGTGCCAGCTCCAGCTGTGCTCAGTCCAGCTGTGCCCAGTTCCAGCTGTGCTCAGTCCAGCTGTGCCCTGTTCCAGCTGTGCCAGTTCCAGCGGTGCTCAGTCCAGCTGTGCCCCGTTCCAGCTGTGCTCAGTTCCAGCTGTGCCAGCTCCAGCTGTGCCCAGCTCCAGCTGTGCTCAGTCCAGCTGTGCCCAGTTCCAGCGGTGCTCAGTCCAGCTGTGCCCAGCTCCAGCTGTGCCCCGTTCCAGCTGTGCACCGTAGAACATTCTACACAATGAATCCGAGCTCCAGCTTTTGTTCAGGGTACTCTAAAGCCAAATTGAAGGCTTTGATCAGCTCAGGGCAGCCTGACTCAGGTGCATCCCTTAAACCCCTCTGGAGCTGCTCTGCTCAGCAGGTGTTGGGGGTTTGGGGGTTTGGGGATTTGGGGATTTGGGGATTTTGGGGTTTGGGGGTGGCCTGGGGCTCTGCCAGGGAGGTTTGGGAGCTCCTGGTGCCTCCAGGTTCACTTTTGCAGGTGCAGGGGATCCCTCACTGGGGAGTTGTGCCCCTTTTGAGCTGCTCTGCTTTTAGAGCCTGTGCAAGGAGACAAGAGAGGTGAGTGGAGAGCAATTTACATTTTCCATCGGGTTTCCTTGGAAGAGGCAGAGTTTAGGCTTTAGAGGCTGAAGTGAGGACGGTGACTTGGGACAGACTTTCACAAGCACAAGTACTCCTCAGGACTGGGAAAACACAGGGCATGGAGCCTGGAATGGCTTTTCACTTCTGTGTTTAAGGGGTTTTAAACCCAGGGGGTTCCTGTGTGAGGGGCAAAGAGGTCTCTGCACTTCCCTTCTGTCTGAAAATGCAGTGACAGGACAAGGGGAAGGGCCCTGAGATGAAGGAGGCCGGGGTTAGATGGGCTGTTGGAAGGGAATTCTTCCCTCTGAGGCTGCGATGGAATTCCCAGAGCAGCTGAGGCTCGCCTGGACCCCTGGCAGTGCCCGAGGGGCAGGGCTGGGATGGGATCCAGCTTCATCCTCCTGTCCCAGTCCTGGGGCTGCTCAGAGCTGAAATGCACTGCACACCAGAGGCTGCTCCACGAGATGGCATCCTCTGAGCTCCTCCTGCTCGGGAACAGCACAGCTTGCCATCTTTAATAATAACAATAATAATTAAGTGTGGGGGGGAAGGCACGAGCCCTCCCTGGCTTTTCTGAGGTCTTTGTGAGGATTTGTGAGGAGGCAGGCTGCTCCTGCTCCCACCAAACAACGCTGCTGCTTCCCAAGAGCTGCCACAGACCGAGGGTCGAGCCCCTTTAAAAGAAAAAAAACCAGAGAAATACAGTATTGTGCATCTTGAAATCTGAAACCAAGAAACAGAAGTGAAGGGGAAACAAGGGGGAAAGTCTTGCAATTCCTGTGGACAACTGTTGCGAGTGGAGCTTTAAGGAATACCATTTCCATTTCTACCTTTTAAAGGTCTTTGAATGGCTTTTGTGGGGAAAGCTGTGAAATAAAGGAGCCTCGGAAGAAGAGATTTCTTTTTCTCCTGCTCTCTGGATATAATGGCCATTGCAAAACAAAGCATTTTGAGATTTGGCTTCAAGTGTGTCTTCCTGGCAGTTTTTACTCTCACCTGTGATGGGCACGGTGGGAAGAGAGAGAACGGGGGTCCTGCCTGCTACGGAGGCTTTGATTTGTATTTCATTCTGGACAAGTAAGTCAGCCTGACTCTGTTCTTTTGCATGATCTGGAGAGGCACACGAGGGTGTTGAGGAGGTTTCCTTGGGGTTTGGGTTTTGTAGAAGTGTCCCCAGGGGACCTCTGCCACTCCTGGCTTATTTTTGTGGTGACTTTGGTGGCTCCAAATCCTGCTGCTCTCCCATGGCTGGAAACCTCCAGCACCAGAGCTTTGTGTGCACTGGAGTTGGTTAAAGCAGCCCCCTGGTCCCCCCTGGCTTCCCGGGGAGCTTGAGGCTCCCAGGAGAGCAGAGTTATTCCAGGGAATTTGGAACTGGGGAGATGCAGGCAGAGCTCGCTCTCAGCTTTGCTCCTGTCCCTCTGCCCCCTGAGCTGTGTCCCTGTCCCCTGAGCTGTGTCCCTGTCCCCTGAGCTGTGTCCCTGTCCCTCTGTCCCCTGAGCTGTGTCCCTGTCCCCTGAGCTGTCCCTCTGTCCCCTGAGCTGTCCCTCTGTCCCCTGAGCTGTGTCCCTGTCCCCTGAGCTGTGTCCCTGTCCCTGTCCCCTGAGCTGTGTCCCTGTCCCTCTGTCCCCTGAGCTGTGTCCCTGTCCCCTGAGCTGT